CATGTGTCAAATTATCCATTGCAAAGGACAAAATGACATGACATTATGACAAACCATGGCAACCTTGCTTCCTTAGTCTCTTTCCCACATAAGGGATTTTATCCAAAATATTTAATGGCGTATAAAATATATAGTCTAAAGCGTGACGCAAGTGTAGGGCTTTTTATTAAAAAAAAAAGAATTATTCAAAAATATGCTGTAATTGCTGACATCTTAAGCAACAAAGAAGTGTGTGTTTACGCTTTATTATAATATATAACAAATAGGTATACATCACATTGTTTCTTTCAACGTAAATTCTTATTGCGGATTGAATCAAAAATCGTCTAACAATCTTTCGTTTTTACACATAATATCCATTAGCTGGCAGATTTTAAGAGCAAAGATTTTAACAAAAGTATTCCGTTTCACCGTTTTAAAACATCAAACACATTTCGTTCAGGATATCAAGTTATTTTAAGAAATAAAAACAAAGAACCGAAGCGCAGTCGACGACGTGTAATTTACTTCGCGTCACTCAATCGCCTTCAGAATGTTAAGCGAAAAATATTTAACTCTTCCTTACAGCTCATATTCGCGCCTTTTTAAAACACTAGCGATCTGCTTCAGCTTTGGTTATGTGGCAAAGAATGTACTTTTCATATCTTTTCTATTACATTCATACCCTTTTCGTTGATGTCCCCTTCATTATATAGCCTATATTATTCATTCATAACTTAGCTTCCTAAGGATATGAATTTTCGAAATCAATTCAGCTGTTTTGCAACCTATCAAATCTTTGTAATATCTGTATAGACTGAACATGCATTTTTCTGTCTAATTAAAAATTTCGTAATGACGCATCACCAACGACATAACATTTTCATCTTAATACCAAAGAAAATTTCCCGTAATGTCGGTTTAAGGTTACACCAGTAAAAGTCTGGCCCACTTTCCTAGGACTCGTTAAATCTCCGGTTTACAACAATATTATATCACATCGCTGCTAATGTTTACATTGATGTTGGGCTAAATTTTACACGAACGCTGAAAATTCTTGCAGCATATTCGTATGACATTTCTGGGTCGAGTTTTACTTCTAGATTATTCCAACAGCGTTATTTATTGAAATAAATACCTAACACTCTAAAGCAAATAATTATGGTATTTATTTTTATTAACTAAACTGCAAACTAGTAATTTAAAAACCAAAAACTCAAGTTAACACATTTTCAAAGCCAGCAATATCGTGCGTGTGGAATAAAAATTAATCTGCTACGAGTGTATTTAATATAATATATTTGTTATTTAAAGACAGAACATGGCACATATGTACACTCGAGTGCATAATATCATGTCTCTTGTACACATTGGCTCTGTTCCACATGACTCTTGGACCTCATTCAAGTTAAAGAGCAACTATCCGAACCTATCTTATGACAATAGGTAATAGTTATAAAATAGGTTCGGACTATAGATGCTTATGTAAATAGCTTAGGTATGTTAAGTTGTGTTACTGTTGGTATTTTCATGATATTCTGTTCAATTTAGTAGTAAAGCTAGAAACTTTCGCATCCTTAAAAATATTTAACTATTTTAAATGTCAAAGATAAAAGTATATTGGTCACTACTTATCAATAAGAAGGTTTAATGGACCTTTTTGTATTTGTAGAACATAGTCTGGTAGAACACATAGGCTACCTAAGAAATCTATTTTAAATTCCGCGATGAATTCACGGGCGAAAGTTAGTTTAAACATAAAAATCTTTATTTTTATCAATATTGTTCGTTATTTTTTCTCATGGCTCTAATATTGGCTGTTATTTAATGACATAGATGCTTTCCAATTTGTCGTATAAAAATGAACACATGAGAAAGCTCGTAGTTGCCTTAAATTTAGACTGAAATGAAAATTCATTACGTACAAAGCATTTTTACGCGAGGGGCAATGTTCTAATTTGTACTTTGATGTTTCTGACTCGGCAATAAAACAATTTCACAGTTTTAATAAAAGCTTCAATTTCGGCCGTACGTGTTGTTACTAATATTTCAAAGAATAAAGAAGAAATTCCAAAAGATATACATTTTTAATTAGTTATATTTAGTTTCATTCATTTTGAAATATTCAGTTATTTTAAGATAGTTTTGCTTGATTCCGTTAGTTCCTTTTCCTTCCCATTATTTTTCTTATAAGAAAACGATGGGTAGGAAACGTGGATCTGACACTGGAGGAGACGCTTAAAAAAGAGAAATATCCTTTTTATATGCGTATCCTCCAACGACTATTAAGGGTAGGCAACGCATCCGGTATTGCGAATATCTATGGGCAGCGGTTGCTTCGTCATTTTGACAAATTCAGGTGGCCGCTTGCTCGTTTGCTGTTATAATATAAAAAAAAACATGGATTTTTAAACACGGCATATGACAAACAAATACACCGACTTAACTGTTTACTTTTGAACTACGAGTAGTATTTAATAAATAAACTATAGCAATTGTAAAGAAATAGCTCAAACACGCTTCTTACATTTGAACTAAGCTGAGCATACAAATTGAATTGGAAGCAAACGTGTCACACAAGACTTTTTCCTCATTCAGTATTTCCTCGTTGAAAGCTTTTGAGAACGTGATTATGTCTGAGTACATCGCACATATAAAATTCAATCTATTTCAAACATTATTTTAAAATAGGTATTTTAATAATTACTATTGATTACTCATCATCCACTTGTCCTTATCCCTTATGGAGGGTCGGCACAGTATGTGCTGCTCTTCCATACATCTCTATCAGCCGTCATATCTGAATTCACTCCTTTCTTAAGC